AAAGATCCCAGGTATAAAGCAAATAGATCCTGCATTTATATCCTAAATAAACAACTTTTTATTAAACATCAGATATTATTTTTAAGTTTTCGAGGAGAAGAAAATAATTTTCAGGTATTTAGAGATTTCTTTCATTTTCACTCCATATATAACAGGGTTAAGGAGAGGATGATACAGAACCACTTGTAAAGTCATGATAAAGCGAGCTGTTTTGTGGAAATCAATGTTGATTCGAGCGATCACAATATCATATGAACACAAACAGGAAAAACTGAGTAGAACCAACAGGTGAGGAGAACAGGTCTGGGCAGCTTTTCTCCTGACATTAATGGAGCTTTTAAAGGTTATTATGAGTATTTTTGTGTAGGTAAATAATATAAAAAGTAAAGGCAAAAATACTGTATTGACTGCAATAAATACACCATATATAATATAAGATGCTTTGGAGCTCATACAATAAATCTGTGAAACTGCATTATTGCAGAAGATTCCATTTAAAGTAAAGTTGCAGATTTTGAACATGTTACTTATAAACAGTGAAGGCACAAGCTGACAGGTAGGCACCAGCCAAGCTAAAACCAGCAAAATACTCACTGTTGATTTTCTCATGATAGTGTGATATTTCAGAGGTTTACATATAGACACATACCTGTCATAGGCCATGACTGACAACAGTAAAAATTCAGAACCACATAAAGAGTAATAAATAAAACCCTGTAAATGACAGAGTGAAACAGATATAATCTGTTTGTCAGATAAAAAGTCCATCAGCAGTTTTGGGTAGATGTTGGTGCTGAAAAGAAGTGAGTTACAGAGCAAAGCTGCAATAAAAATGTACATAGGCTCGTGGAGACTTTTCTGAATCCAGATAATGCAGAATATGGTTGAATTGCAGCAAATAATTAAAATATAAACAGTAAACAGGATCACAAAATACAAAAATCTGTATTTCTGTAATTCTACATGTCCGCCAAAAGTTATCCATGTTATATTGAATTCATCAATCATTTTTATATAAAGCAACTGTGAACAGGCTGTGAAAGAATCTAACTAGGCAGGTCACAAATAAAGGACTGCTAGTGCAAAAAGACATATGATTGAATCAGGTGCGTGTTTGCATCCAAGCAAACTGAGGCTGTGAAAAGTTTTTATTTAACTGTTTTATTCTCCATGGATTTCATTAAACTGTTTACACCTGACATGAAAACAGATTCACTCTTGGAGGTTAGTTGGCAACTCAAACTTGAGAGAAAATACATATATTTTTAGTCAAGTTTCATTACATTCTGAGTGTTTGCAACCAAGTCACTAGGGCCCTGTTTCAGAAAGCAGGCTTAACAAACCCTGGGTAGATAACAGAAACTCTGAATCAACCTGCCCCGCTCTGTGATACTTAGGATTTTCAGTTTCAGAACAGGTGATATCAACTGGGCAACTTAATCCTGAGTCAAGGTACCCCTGATTTAAGTTGCAGCACAAAGCCCTCATCAATGGAAGTCAGATAACACGTTTCACCATGGTAACAGCAGAAAATAAGACTGGAAGTCCAGTTCTCGTGCTGAAACTAGAAATATAAATGATGACATATAGAGAATATCAACATATATTTAAAAAAATAAGTAATACTGTTGCTGCTGCAAAAGAAAGTGTGTTAGTGTGGCAGAGATCTGCTGATCTAGTCAATGCATGATTATGATTTTACTTGAATCTAAACTTTAATTCTTTATTCAAGTGGATAAAAGTGTGTGTGTGTGTGTGTGTGTGTGTGTGTGTGTGTGTGTGTGTGTGTGTGTGTGTGTGTGTGTGTGTGTGTGTGTGTGTGTGTGTGTGTGTTGGTGAACCCAGCCAGTACTAAATGGACATGGCAGCAATTAAAGATTAAAGGGATCCATGATTTGTTTTAACATTAGACTTTATTTGATGAACATATATTTTAACTGTAAAATAAAGACTATAAAAATACTGTAGCCTGTTTAGTTTTGTAAATTTTTTAAATTATGTTTTAACATGGACGGAGCCATTTTATTTACACACTAAGCATTCAGGGTAAATGATGACGCAGATAGGTCCTCGGTGCGAGGCTGCTAGCGAGCTATATCCACCCTGAAGGTTAATCTTGGACAATATCTGATGATCAACTCTTTTAAATGAAACCAGAGAGCGTTGACAGAGAGGAGAAGGTAGAAATGACTCAGCCTGGAACTGAAAATATGGATGGAGGACAACAGAGCTGCTTCATGGAAGAACAACCTCAAATTAGCCTGTTAGGTTAGGTTAAAAAACAGGGAAAAAATGGGGAAAAACAGAGTGCCCTCTTCATGGCTTTAATACCCTTTACAGCAGACGCTGCGCCAATCCGCCTGTCGATCTCCCGCTCCGTTCTTCCCCCATTCGTGAACAAGATCCCCAGATACTTAAACTCCTCCACTTGAGACAGGGCCAAAGAGGCCGAAGAGGCAAACAGAGAATTTTGTTTAACAGAAATTTCTGCTTAAAATTTCCAGGCATTTTTACCATTTTTTTTACACAGTGCAGTTTTTACACATGGAGTTTTTATTAACAAACTTTCCCTGTTGAAAAAACATGGAACAGGAGGAGTTCACTAACATTCACATGAAATGTCATGGCTGATGTTTGATCTGAGGCAAAGCACATTAACACATAGTTCATTGGGACTCCTCTGGCAAATGGTGTCCACTTTTTACAAACCTGAGTTTTGAGCACTTCTGCTTTATATGGCGAGATTAGGCCAAAAGTAAAATGTTTGAAATGATCCCTTCAGTAATTTAGTTCATATTCTACATAATTAGTATATAAACAAGACCCTGAGATCACTCCTTGGCTGTATTAGATCTAACGTCAAGGTTAGTGAAACCCGGATTTATTATCATTATTGCTATTATTATTACTACATTTAATCACCAGTTATAATGTTAAGTAAGCACAGTTAGTCGGTGAGTACACATTTGGTGAGCACGGTGGCTACTTTTTGTGTTGGTGGTGGGGGGGATTCTTTTTTATTTTCTTTTTCTGTTCTACTCTGTTCTTTTTGTTTTTTGTTTTCATCTCTTTACTATCACATTATTTTTTCTCTTATTTCTTTATTTCTAAAACAATTACTTGTACACAAGCGCACAAACCCACACATCCAAATACTTAATAATCAAACATATGCTTCATTTAACTTCAAACACATTACGTATTTTTGTATACTGTATCTTACATGGTACATAGGTATTCTCAAAATCTTGACTAATCATCACTCACTGTCAATGACTGTCCCTGAGTGTCCCTACTGTTATGATAATGGGCGTGATTTAATTTTATTCTCACAAATACTGCGATGGGTTGTTTAAGGTTTGTCACATAGAATATAAACGGAGCCGGTACCCAAAAGAAAAGATATAGAGTTTTTAACCAGCTTAAAAGATTAAAGGCAGATGTTGTATTACTACAAGAAATTCATAAAATAAATTCAACTGTAGATGATCTCAAATCTCCTGAGTTCCCTAATATATTCTCAGCCTGTTATAATTCAAGACAAAGATGGGTAGCAATGTTAATACATAAAAATATCAACTTCACAGTATTAGATACAGTTTTTGACCCGAAGGATTGATATATAATATTAAAATTTTCTCTATTTAGCCAAAGATACTGTATTGCAAGCATATATGGTCCAAATGTGGATGATACCTCATTTTTTCATGATTTCTTTTCTGTTCTATCAAATCACCTGGATTGTTCACTGCTTCTTGGAGGCAGTTTCAACTTTGGTCTAAATAATAACATTGACAGGATAAATATGGCTGGAACTCAGCGCAGTTGCCAATCCACAAACATAGTTAAACAATATATGAGTGGTTATGGACTTTGCGATGCATGGCGTGCTCTACACCCTGACAACAAAAAATATATGTTCTTCTCACATGTTCATCACTCTTATTCTCGCCTGGACTATTTTTTAGTCAGCAGTTCATTGCTGACCAATATTTTAGACAGTGAGATACACCCTATTGCTGTCAGTGATCATGCACCAGTCTCTTTAACCTTAGTTAATAAGAAAGAAACAAAAACAAACATAAATTGGAGATTTAATACATCATTGCTCAATGATGAACAGTTTTTAAAATATTTTAAAGAGGAATGGACATCATATCTAGAGTATAATGACTTACCAGGAACATCAGCATCTACTCTCTGGGAGGCAGGGAAAACAGTTATGAGTGACAAGTTAATATCATACTCAACAGATAAAAAGAAAAAAAGAAATTGAATATATTCACGAACYAGAGGAAGCCATCAAATTGTTAGGAACTTTGCAAGGCGAAGAAATACAGCAAAGAATGCAGAAGGCAAAATTAGAGTTAAATGAATACATAGACAAAAAATAAATTCTTGATACACTGACTTCGATTAGAAAATTTTGAACATAGTAATAAATCAGGAAGTTTTTTAGCTAGCCAGCTCAAAATAAATAAAGAAAAAACAACTATATCTGGTATTAAAAACATAACTGGGAATATAGTTTATGATCAGGGAGAAGTAAATGTTTTCAGAGACTTCTACCGAGATTTATACACTCTGCAGATAAACCCTTGAGATAAGGATATTGAACAATTTTTGGAAAAGGTGTCACTTCCAAAATTATCCAGTAACCAGTCTTTAGAACTAGACTCTCCAATGACATCAGCTGAATAATGTGAAGCTGTTAAAAACATGGCGAACAAGAAAGTTCCATGTCCGGACGGGTTCCCAGCAGAATTTTATAAAGAATTCTGGAATATTCTGGGACCAGTACTTTTCAGAATGTTTCAGAAATCAGAGGAAAATGGCAGGCTTCCATTACATATGAATTCGGCCATCATAAGTCTCATATTAAAACCAGGTAAAGACCCAGTCCTACCTACAAGTTATCGTCCCATTTCCCTTATTAATGTTGATGTTAAAATAATTTGTAAAGCTCTCTCTAAAAGATTAGAGAAGATAATTCCTTTCTTAATTCATCCTGACCAAACCGGATTCATAAAAGGAAGGCACTCGACTACAAACTCACGTAGATTATATAATTTAATAGACTATTCATACAGTAAAAATATTGAAATGACTATTYTGTCTCTAGATGCAGAAAAAGCATTTGATAGAGTAAATTGGAAATTTTTATTTGCAACCCTGCATAAATTTGGGTTTGGAACACATTTTATTAACTGGTTGAAAATTGTATAGTTCACCAACAACGTGTCAGGACAAATTATCAAATATCTTCTAGCTTTTGTTTACAGAGAGGCACCCGGCAGAGATGCCCACTGTCCACCTCACTGTTTGCTATTTTTGACCCTCTAAAAAATGATGGCCTTTAACAAACATTTCCAAAGTGGACCTTCCTTCCTGCTCTACCCTGATGGTACAAAAATAACTAAAATACCAGGGACAGAAACAGCATTTTCTCTGTAACTGTACAAAGAAGCACTGGGGAAAGCTTGCCAATGCATCACAATCTACCTTTGCACAGTTGAAGATTTCCTTACTGATTATAAGTTACCCTTAAATGCACAACCTTACAAAAAGCCTCATACTTTGTCAAATTTAAACCAAAAATACTCTCATGTCTGATCTTGTTTTTTAAAGCTCAGCAATCTACCTCAGACTCTTCACATTCTGAAGTGATTATAACAATCAGAAGTGCTAAATAATTTCATTTGGCTGATACAGCAGTAAGGGTAATATTTGCCATTTTACATCTGCTTACATGTGTAAGTCGTGTAATATTTGCCATTTTACATCTGCTTACATGTGTAAGTCAGATACAGCGGGTAAAATAAGTATTGAACACATCAACATTTTTCTCAGTAAATATATTACTAGGGGTGCTAATGACATGAAATTTTCACCAGATGTCAGTAACAACCGAAGTGATCCATACATACAAAGAAATCAAACCATAAATGTCCAGAAAATGTAATTTGTAATAATGAGGAATGGCACAGGGAAAAATTATTGAACACACTTACTGAAATTAATCTAATACTTTGTACAAAAGCCTTTGTTGTCAATGACAGCTTCAAGATGCTTCCTGCAT